GAGGCTACCTCTCTGTAAAGAACACAATCGTCTGCAAATAGCCAGAGCTTAGATTGGATTGAGCTGGATATGTCATTTATGAACAATAGAAATAGTGCTGGACCCAACACAGAGCCTTGAGGCACTCCAGACACAACAGGTCTTGACGAAGAGTGAGTACCATTAACTGAGACACTTTGCTTGCGGTTTGACAAAAAGGCCCTAATCCAATTAAACATGTTACCCCTGATTCCGTAGTAATCAAGCTTTATAAGTTTTCTTTCATGGGGAACAGTGTCAAATGCCTTTGAGAAGTCTAATAGCAACACATCTGTTATGCTACGGAAGTTTATACCTTTGGCCCAGTCGTGTATTGCAGAAATCAGTTGAGTTTCACAGGAAAATTTTTCCCTAAATCCATGTTGATGGTTGATGAGGATATTAGGTGAGGACAGATGTCTCGCCATGTGACTGAAAATAATGTGTTGCATTATCTTGCAACAGATTGAAGTTAACGAAATGGGGTGGTAGTTGGCAGGTTCGGATTTATTACCCTTCTTAAAAATTGCTGTCACCAAGGCATTTGACCAATCAGATGGAATTTCCTTGCATTCATATGACTGCTGAAAAAAAAATGCTAGCCAGTGAGATATTTGTTCAGAAAAATTCTTTTAGTATTTCTGCTGGAATTTCATCCGGTCCACATGCCTTCCTGGGATTCAATTGAGATAATTGCTTACGAACACCATCAGCTGAGATATGTAAGTTTGGAATGGAAGAGAATGGCGATATACCAATATTAGGTGTCGGTAGCTGCTCTTGGGTGAAAACAGAATAAAAGTAAGCATTGAGAGATTCAGCTTTGTCTTTGTCTGATGCAGATATTGATGAACTATCATTCTTTAGGGGTGGGATACCAATATTCTCTGACTTGCTATTCCTCACATAGGACCAGAACTTTCTGGGGTTTTCAGACAAACTGTTGCCAATAACATCATTTAGATCATTGTTGTGAGATTCTTTGATGAGCTTGGAAACCAAATTCCGTTGACACTTAAAGGCTTCCCAATGCTGTTTGTTTTAAGAGCGAATAGCTCTTTTGTGGATTCGGTCTTTCTTGCGCATTTCCCTTTTAATGTTGGTATTTACCCAAGCCAGTTTGTATCTTGGGCTTGATGATTTCTGAGGAATAAACTGGGACATTCCAGTAGTTAATGATGTTTGAAACATATTCCAATTCTCCTCAACTGTTCTTTTTTCTGGATCTGATGTGAAAAATTTAAATGACAAATCTGACATAAATTTTTGAAGGCCAGGAAAGTTGGCTTTGTTGTACTGATATACTTTGTGAGGAGGCTTCGTAGATCTAGAGGGCCTCAGGTTTACTTCAAAGTTAACAGCAAGGTGGTCACTTAAGCCGGTTACGGTTGAGGGGTTACAAATGACATTTGGATAAGAAGATAACAACAAGTCCAAAGTCTTTCCAGAAGTCGGTCAAGTAGGAGATTTCACATGTTGAGTTAGGGAATAATCATCGATGATGTCAAGGAGTTTCTAGTGTTGAGAAGCTGTATTTGGATTAACTAGAGCTGGTACATTTGATTTCCAGTCGATATCTCCAAGGTTAAAATCACCTCCAATTATAATATTTGGATAGTTTTGAACTTTAGAAAAGACACGTCTTATGAATTCCTTCAGTTGATCGAGTGAGTCAGAAGGTGAGTGTGGTGGTCTATAGTAAGATGACAAATATATAGTCTTGCAATTGGTTAGCTTAAGAGAATTCCAAGCGATTTCACAGCTTTCTACTTCGAGATTAGGCTCTTCAATGCACACCAAATCCGATTTGATAGCTAGAAAGACGCCTCCACCAAATCGAGTTCTGTCTTTTCTAAACACCGTGTAGTTCTGAGGGAAAATAGAATAAGTTGAGACTTCCGGAAACAGCTTGGATTCAGTTCCTAGAATGA